CCCGGCCCCTTCCTTAGGCCCCGGGCAATTACCATCCTTCCTTAAGAACTTTTTAACGCAGAATTTCCCCTGCGAGTCAAAAATGTTCTTTCCCGGGGCTTCGTCCAAGCTGAAAGGGGTCCCCAAGGATGGTTCTAAGACAAAATTTTTTCTCCTTCTTAAAGATTTTGGCCCCCTTTTTCTTCCACCCCAATTTTTTGGGCATCACTCTAGTGATGATTTGCTTTGTTGTCAGGCGCTGATGTTTTCTTATTGCAGTTTCCCCCGCTGCGGTCCACCCTGTTCCACTTGGGCCAAGATGGGGTTTAAAATTTTTTAGTACCAAACTCGCCCAAATTTTTTTCACTAGACGCTCTGTTATCTCCGTCATCTTTTTTACTCTGTGGCTCCGTATCCCCCAACGTGATACAATCAGGTTTTAGGCCTTCTCTTTGACCTAGGTTTTCTGGGAAACCCCACATTACCTCTTGAAGGCAAATTTTCACAGCCGGCTAAACCTTCTTAAAACCCTTGCTATCTTTCCCGGGGGGCTGATCGTCGAACTTGCTTCGCCTCATTCGCCCTGTTTTTTGAACTCATTATGGTGACCAGATTTTTTCCGCGGCCTTCCTGTATCTCTCTTGCCTTAACTCTATCCATCAAGGATTGTTTGTGCCTTGGTGCTTTTTCGCTCTTTTCCCCTGTTGAGAGCCTCTAGCAAAACGATGTTCCATCCTTGTCTGACCCGTGATGCCCCTTGCCCTTTGCTACATGTATGCTCTCACGATCACACATTCCCTTCCCTTTTTGAAAGGCACCGTATTAGTAACTTCTTTTTTTCGTTCGCCCCCCCTGTTTGCTCCCTCCCTTTTCCTTTGCCTACTTTTACTCTTGTCTTCCCCCTTAGTTACCACCTTTTTATTTTGAGCATCTACTTTTCCCTACCCCCCCGGGGAATTCCAGCTGTTGGGTTTTTCTTTTTAATCCTTGCTCAAATCAACTGCCTACGGTGGGTTTCCCCTTCTTTTTTTTTGATACTTCCCCTCCCCTTTTTATGCCCCCGCTGTGTACACAGTGGGTTTTTCTTCAACGGCGTCGGGTTGCAGCATGTTTCCCGGCAGCTCGGCGGGGGGATTTATATTTCAGCTAGCATTTTTTCTGCTGAACGTATCCATTTTGCGCACTTATTGTATCGCATTATGCCCGTGTCATCATTGTTATCTCAACTCCCTTAGTGCTCTAAGCTATACGAAAATTTGTAATTCATCCCAGTTTCCGTATCCACTTTGGCTACGCCGTATCTCTACCAAACATAAAGTATTGTTTTTTGTTGGGTCCGGTCATGTCGACGTACAGGGCAATGAAAAAAAGGGAGCATGCTGCGCGGAGCGTACATACCACCCAAATTTTTATAGAGGGTTTTCCCTTTTTATATTTTGCTGCAAAAAAGCTACCCCCCTTCGCCCCCGTTGGGGGAAAAGTGGCAATCTCTCGTACAAACTTCATTTTATTAAACGAGCATAGTTATGGCCGTCTTTTTGTCATCATGCCAGGTTGGGGGGCCACCTCTCCCCCCTTTGCATTGGCCACACTCGTCTTTTCATGGGGATTCATGGAGAGGCACCCCTTTTCCCCTCTGTGAGCAGTGCAGTTCCGATCGATTAGCCACATTTGTTAGACTGCCCTCTCTTCAACGAGACCAGAAAATTTCCCCCGTCGGCTTCGTTCTACTACTCTCTCTTTACCCTTTCCCTTTTTTTGAGGACCCCCCTTTAATCCCGACCTCTCATTGACTTCTTTACAACGATGATTTAAATCCAAATTGATGATCTTTGGGTCCCCTCGTCCTTTTTAGTTCAGTCTCTTGCGCCCTTTAACCCCTTTTACCATCCCTCCCGCTGTTTCCCTAACCTTTACTCGTCCCTCTCCCTTTTGCCCCCTGATGCCCCCGTTCCCTTCCCGCCCCGCCGCGTATAGTCCCTTTTGGCTTAGCGCTTCTTTTTTATTTTAAAAATAATGATAATGAGGGGAATGTGGGTGTGAATTAAACAGAGAATTTGTAGTTTGGAAGTTAGGAGGGGGTGGGGAACCAAAAAAGTTGTCCAAGGGGTGAGGAAGGGTTGTTGAGGTGGTTCGGACATTGTAGAAGAAGGAGGAAACGAATTAAGGGGTGTATCGCCTGAAAGGGGAAGGGGGAAGGGGGTAGGGTCGGCCTGGGGAAATTTTTGAGGTTGGGGGAAAGGATTTTTCGAGGGGCTTGGATTAGCAAGGGTACATTTTATAGGAAGGAGGGAGACAAATGGTTTTTAATACTTGAGTGTTTGGAGTGGGCAAAGACTTTTAAATGGGGGGTTCAGGGAAACCGGGCACCGCTTGGTCCGGGATAATAATTTATTAAAGATTTAGTTCTTTTAAAAAAAAAAAAAAAAAATTTAAAAAAAAAAAAAAAAAAAGGGGAAAAAAAAAAAAATTTTAAAAAAAAAATAAAAAAAAAAAAAAATAAAAAAGTGTATGGTGGGTTATTTTTGAAAAAATTAAGGTAAGACAGAATGTAGAATTGCAGATGAGCAAGGTGGTTTTAGATGGGTGGGGGATGTGTAGATCAAGTTTTTAAATTTTGAAACTATATGTGAATGATTTGATAAAGGTGGGGAAAGTTTTTTTGCATTTATGTTTGAAAACATATAAAAAATTGGATAGGGGGCAAGTGGAGATGTTCAATATAGGAATAGGTGGAAGTTAAAAATACAGGGGACCCCCTGATAACGATCACCTCCCATGCGCCCAATTATTAAGTGTATTTATGTGGGGGTTTGTACGGTTGTTTGGGGGTTGAAATGGACAATCACTTCACAATATTCCCTTTTGGGAAAAAATTAGGTCATCTGGACCCGAACTGCTTCTGGAATGAAAAAAAAATCGTTTAACGGGGGTCCAGTACTGAGTTTTTATGAGGATAGTGAGGGTAAGGTTTGGGGTGTTTTAAAGAGAGGGGGACTACTTTCGGTAAAAAGTAGGGTTTTGGGAGGGGTTTGTAAAGTCACCCTGGTTTTTAATATATTTTAGATGGGGTTTAAAAAAGTAAATGATAGGGTGTTCGGGGGGGGGGGTGGGATTAAATTTGGGGGAATCAAATACAAAATGGGAATTGACACAGTTATTTTTTTCTGATGATACGTGTTAGGAGGTTCTAAAGAAAAAACGAAGGGTTTGTGGGGCAAATTGGGGGTGTGTGTAAAAGGGAGAAAGTTGAAAATGAAATAGAAAAGAGTAAGGCAATGAAAGGGTTTGATAAAAAAAATTGGATATCAAAAAGGGGGGGGGGGGGATGGAAGAAGTAATTTTCAGATATTTGGGAGTTGAGTTTCAGCGGGGGATTTATGAAGGATGAGGGTTTATCAAGGGGTTAAAAAAAAGGAAAAAAAGGGGGAAATGGTATGTTTAGGTTGGGGGGGGAGACAAAAAATTTTATTTTGGGGGGCAAAAAGGGAAAAAAAAGTTTTTTTTTGGGGAAATATATTGGGTACCAACATCTTTTAGGTGTTAAAACTTTTTAAATATGCAGCAAAGGGGGCGGGTTGGGGGCAGTTTAGATTTCCTGTCTAAGGGGAATGTGTAGTGTTTAAAAAAATTTTGCAGAAAATTTGGAGTTGGAAATTAAAGGGGAAGGTTTGGGGTTTTAAAAAAAAGTATTAGGAGGGGCCCGAAAAGGGGGTTTTTGAGGTGGTTTGGTAATTTAGAGAGGGAAAGGTTTAAGTAGAATGACATAGAAAGCGTTTTAAAAATCTTAGGGGGAAAAAAAGGGGGGGTAGGGGGCGGCCTCGAGAAAGTTGGAGGGGGGGGGGTAAAGGAAGGGTTTTTTTGGCGGGGTTGGGCTTTCCCGAAAGCTGGGTGGCGGGGTTGATAGGGGTAATGGGAAAGAATGGTAGTTGGAACCGGGGATCTGTTGGGGGTGTGATCAGGGGAATATTTAGTGAAGGAATTTTGGGGAAAAAAGGGTTTTTTTTTTTATAGCCGGGCTTGATCCTGGAAAAAGGGAAGTACAAACCTGCACTTTCAAGGGGGGGTTTGCGATTGGCGTTTGGGGGGGAAAAGTTTGTATCGTTAAAACAAAAAAATGCTTCTAAAAATGTTGTGTTCTGAGCACCCTTTTGTAAAAACAGTATTGTGTTAGTGAGGGGGGAAAAAGTTGAATGATATGAAAAGGGATTTTTTTTTTTTGGGGGGGTTTTTTTCTTTTTTGGGTCACCCTGCCTCGGTGGGAGACGGCCGACTTGTTGAAAAAAAAATTTATACCCTTGTGTATTTACAGATTGTGATGGATTTTTCTATTACCAACTAAATTTGCATTGGGGAATTAATGTCCACCCATTCTCAGTCTCTGTTGTACACTGTTGAGGATTTTAGCCTTTACAGTTGACTCCTGTATAGACCTAACCTTTGTGAAAACACTTCTTTCTTTTCTCCCCTCTTTGTTACTGCAAGGTTATCAAAGAACAAATCAGGAGAGTTGCTCATCTTCTTTGAGTGCTGTGACTTACCTGCCAGTCTGTTTAGCTTCTTGTCAGTCACAATCCTGTCTCCATCTCAGTGTCAGCTATTTGTAATTGATAATAAAAGCAAAGCTGTGGTATTTAATTTTACTGTACTGCATTTTGTAGAGCTTAAACTAAACTGCAGACCATTCCATGAGCTGTAACATGCCGAATGGAAAGCATCATTTCCAAAATAGGCATGACAACTTGTTTCCTTTGCATATCATTTTAAGTTAAAAACTAAACCTTTGATAGACACTATCTTACAAAACATTTGAATATAAGTACAAATGTCAGGGATTGCATGGATTTCTGATATTGTGTTTCACTCCATTTTTTTTTTATTTTACTTGTGCCTATATAGACTTTATAACTTGCAAATTGTTAGTCATCATCTTAGATACATTTTACATTCTGTACTTATAAAATGAGCATTGTGATTTTTATTATTTCTTAAATTAGCTTACGTTTGTCTTGCATTTACAGATAAAGCTGCTATGCGGTCTGATGCTGCTGCAGAATTAGACCGGTTGACACGATCCAAGAAACCAACACCAAATAATTCTACAGAGACAAACAACTCCTCTGAATGTTGACTCTCGTTTATTACCGTTATTATTTACTGTGCTAAGGAATGATGTTCTGGTGCCCCAGCCTGACTGTATGAGGTGTACTGTAGTGGCCAATAGGCAGTGCAGCGAGTGGCATCCTAAGCATGAGGCAGTTGGATGCCTGTCTGGTTATTACCAGCCAGAAGTGTCCTGGTCTCGGGTGCGAACCCTCGTATTTGAGGTATAATATGGGTAGCTTTTCATTCCTTTCTATGATTAAATGCTATTTAATTCTTACCTTTTAAAGGTACCATCCTGAAAGTATACAACTAATTAGCAGCTAAAATGTTGTATAAAGACATTTCAAGAGACTTCTAAAGCAATTTCTGCTTAGTATTACTGTGACCTTTAATAAAGCAGTGTGCCTCGGAGCTTGTCACATCCACAGGAGTTTAGCGTCCGTTTATCAGTAGTGGTCAAGTTCTGGTGTGTGAGAAAGTAGCATAGCATGTATGTGCCAGACATTACTGGCACTGCATCACCCCGGCTGTGCAGGGAGGTTCTAGCAGCCACAAGGAGCAAGTGCGGCAACCCATGAAAGGGGGGGTGGGGGTGGGGGGGAAAATTGATGGGTGTGTGTGTCTTGTATCATATTTTCTTATTTATTTGTTAATTTTATAAACACTTGCTTCCTTGCTGTTATTACTGGACTATGATGCTTGTGACCCTAATGTGTATATCTCAAAAGCTTATCACTCGTAGGGCTCTTAATTTTGAGCCCTGTATATGCAACACCAGTGAGAGAGAGATTTATGTATATTATAAAAGATAAATTTTAGTCGCATGATTAAATTAGCTACTCAGGAGTATTTATGTGATTATTTCTGACTGGCAGTCCATATGCTTTCACTATGGCATAGCATCTGTTGCCGTAGTAATTTTTGTCTTAAGTTTCCTTTCCTTTTATATTACATGAGAAATGAAGATCATAATTTGACATTTTTTCACTAATTCTGGGACTAACATGGATAAAAATTCAATCTCGTCTGTAAGTTGTCATACTAAAGGTTGGATTTACTATCTAATAGTCTCTTGAGGCTTCATTTGCAAGATACCTTTTCATGTTTGTTTATATATTATGGATGGAAACTGAGAAAATGCATTGGGATGTATAACATAATCATAGTGCAAACTGTAAGTTTAAATCATTTAATGCTGCCAAATTTTTATTTGAGAGGCTTTGAAGATTTAAAAAAGATGAACGATACAAGATGCGACTGGTTTAGATTTGGTCCATAATCAACTGTGATAGGAAACTTAAAAATGTAGTCTGATTTTACTCTTGTATCCTTGATTTCTGGCAGGTCATTTAACTGACTTAATGTTGCCATGAATAAAGGTTAGGAAAGTGTAAGACTTGTGTTATTTGGTGGTAATGTAATAAATTATTTATATTATGAAGCTCGGCTTGTATCATCAGTTTTGAAGAGCTGGTCGTTGTGTATTTGGCCTTAATTATTTACCACCTGTTGGAATGTAACAAAATTTATCCTCACCATCTTTGGTGTTATAACAGTCAAACAGTTATCCAGACAAGAATAAGATACCTGAAGTTGTATATGAAGGGATGATGATATTTCAGGTTTCTAGTACATCCAAGTTTAACCTCAATGCCAAAGCTTAATGAAGAAATATGTATATGTATATATCCTTGCCTTTCAACATTATTTTTCCCATGTATATTTCTTCTATTAACTGTCATTCTGTTAAGTCCAGCTGTAATTGTATATTTGGGCTGTTGAGGTAAGTTAATGTAAAGAAAGGGTGTTTGGAATTGTTTGTAGAAGCTTTAATCAATGGCTATATTGTTGGTCTCAAAAACATTTCACCAGTGAAAATAAATCAGTAAATGTTAATTTTGTTACTTTTAATAGATTTCTAATATATTGTTTGCTTTAAAATCAAGATAAAATAATTTGGAAGGTAATTGTTTTCTTTGGGAAGGTTGAAGGCAGAATGCTTGCCAGGCAGAACTTCATTTAAAACCAAGTATTGAGCTGGCATAGCTTAATACTGGTTAGCAAATGAAGTATACTCGTGCAAGGCAGACACAATAATGAATGCAGATATTTTATAATTTGGTAAGGTTTATGTGCTTGTTAGGCCTTCAGAAGTTCAGCTTTATTAACCAGATCAAGCAGAATCTTACTAATGAGTATGTTGGCAACAGTACTTCATTAAATACCTACCATCTTCAAAGGTATAGACAAACCCGAGGTTGAGGAATCGCTATTTTTCCTTTGAAATTCATACTTTGCCACTGAATAAAACTGCTGACTATTATGGGTTGTCTTGATTATTTATGTAATATACTCTGATTAAAAACTAATTTGACTTAATTAAGATAGAATACTTTAGCAATGAGCTGTTTATTGCCAGTTAGGAAACAGAATATATTTATCAAGATCATGTTATAATTTGATGGGAATTTTCAACACTTCATAATTCTAATTTAACTTTTGTTATGCAGTGAATATAGAGCCAGGGCGATCATCTGGACAAAAATGCGGGTTTTACATTGGAAAAAGTTTTGTTGCTAAAGTAATAGCATTTGTAATTTTTTTTATCAAATATTAGCTGAAGAAATTTTTCTTTGTATTATAGATCTATTTTTCATTTGCCATAGTAGTGAATTGTAAAAATATGGAAATATAAAATTTGTGATAACTTCATATATTGTTTTCCTAGCATATCTTTAATGAATTGTGCAAAGTATCTATTGACTCAAGTGGGATGGAGTATGTCATGTAGGGGAGGGGTAATGGAATGTAAAGGGGGGAATAATTGGGGAATATGGGAGTAAGGGATTATGTAGGCAGTGGACAGGCAGGCGAGGTGGTAGGAGAGATGATTAGCGGAGGTAGGTAATGTGAGGTCACTGGTGACTACATCTTCACCTCTCATTACTCTACCCACCACACTACTCACCCTCTCGCTACTTGAAATAAAATAATGAATAAAAGAGCAAATAACGGGGACAGTGAATATTACTATTCTACTCAAACACAGTTTATTATTAAGTCCGTGTACAATAATATATTTGGGAGAACATTATTGTGGTTTAGATAAATGGGGTGGTACACATAAGCAGTGAGACAGGGAATACAATCAACTTGGCAAAAATTAATGTAACTTACAATATAGATCAGAGGACAGTTCACCACAGGAACTAAGCCACAGGTCCCAAGACATACACAGCACAAGTACTGCTCGAAGTCAGTACTCTGTCCAATGTCTCCAACAGTCTTCTCCAGAGACACTCCCGCTCAGCTCTGTTCACAGGCCAGAGCTCCGCTCGACTCTCCAGCAACCGTCTCCCGAGCTCTGCTCACATCAGCAGCTCCGCTCGAAGTCTCCTGCTCAGTGCTCTGCACACAGCAACAGCTCTGCTCAAAGTCCCTCAATCATGCTCTTCCTTGGGCCTATATGGTGGTCCACGCACCCTCCACAATGAGGTGTGCACCACGTGTTATGACGTGACGACGAGATCTGACGCCAGTGACGAACAAAGGAGCTGATACTTAAGCTGAAAAGGCGTGGCTGCTTAGCTACTTGCCAAGGCAAGGTGACCATATAACTAGGTCTCCCTAGAGACCTCACAAGCCCAGCTGAACTACACAAGTACTCTTGATTCTGTTGAAAGGGCTCATGATTCAAGGAGTGGAAGCTACATTCCCCTTCCTTGAATAAAACCTGATTAATCCCCCAGGTGCTGTGTGACCCTCTGTGGATTTAGCTCTTCCCAAGAATATAATTCTAATTAAGGCTATTATATTTTTATTTTACATGTTAAGTAAATCTCCTTGCAGGGGATTTCTTGATACCAGTGATGGGCTCTTGATCCAAGGAATTGAACCTGATCTCCCATTTCTTTGAATCAAATAGGATCACCTGTTATTCTCCCAGGCACTGTATGCCTTATGGGTTTAGTGCTCTCTCATGAATGTAATAGAGCAATAATCCTTTATTACATGTACAGTTTAATTTGTCTTTGCTAGATAGAGTAGCCTTAGTATTGCCTGCATTTTGCAAGGCATTCATTTGTCTTGTAGTCCACCTTTCATTGACTTGAAATTCTTTGATAGTTTTCATGTTTTTTAGCTGCTTTAAGCTGAGTCTGAGGTCTGGTTACATTATCTAGTGCTTCATAGATGGCACAAGGTCGGTGTCCATCTCTAATTTGCTAGCCAAATGAACTAAAGATGGTTGATATCTCTCGAAAGTTCCATCACAGTATACTACTGTCTCCTTGGATGAAAACTGATTACCTCCACTTCCCATAGGTGCTCTATAACCCATACCCCTCAAAGGAGGTACCTCAGTGCTGGTGAGTGGTTCGTGATCCAAGGAATTGGACATGTACTTGCTTGAATTAACCCAAATTACTTTGCATTCCTCCACTCACCAGCAGCATTTTATGACCCTTATGGTTTAAGTGGTTAGTTATGATAATACTCCACTCACTACGACCTATACCTGGAGGGGGTTTTGGGGGTCAATGCCCCCGTGGCCTGGTCAGTGACCAGGCCTCATGGTAGATCAGGGCCAGACCAACCAGGCTGTTAGTGCTGGCTGCACGCAAACTGATATACCAACCACAGCCTGGATCGTTGGGAACAGACTTTAGGTGCCTGTCCAGTTCCTCTTGAAGACAGCTAAGGGTCTATTTGTAATCCCCCTTATGTATGCTGGGAGGCAGCTGAACAGTTTTAGGCCCCTGACACTTATTGTCTCTTAGTGTACCTGTGGCGTCCCTTCTTTTCAGTGGGGGGATATTGTATAGGGTTAGTGCTTCCATAACATAATGACCAATGGATTTAGTGTTCTCCCCCCACCAACATAATATTGATTGTTACAACGTACTCTGTATGACTATGCCCAACTTGACACCATGCAAGGCAAGGCTGTCAGGCAGTGCCTCTACAAGAGGGTAAGAGTGGGTCTCGTTGCTGGTGAAGAACCCTTGATCTAGAGAGTTGGAGCTATCCTCCCATTTCTTGGATCAAACTTGTGTACCTCACATTCCCCTCAAGGGAGGTTACTTGATGCCAGTGGCTCTTAATCCAAGGAATTAGACCCGTCCTCCCTTGGACTGAACTTGAATGCCTCCACTTGGATTGAACCTGAAAGCCTTCTTTGAACTGAACCTAAATGCCTCCCTTGGATTGAACCTGAATGCCTCCAATTCCTTGGATTGAACCTGAATGCCTTCCTCTACTTGGACCGAACCTGAATGCCTCTCATTTTCCCAGGCACTCCGTGAATAATAATGAAACACTTCTCTTCTTTGCCAGATGCTGTACGACTTGTGGGTTGTTATAGTGCTTCCTACGAATGTTTAATGGAGGAGCAGCACTATACCCAGAGAGTTCATGTAGTGCCTGAGGAATGGAAGGTAGCTGCAGTTTCCTAGATCAAGAGTTCTGATATTGTCCCACTAATGCCCTTATTTTATCATTCCTTCTTAATGATGACCCCCTCCTTTGACACACACTCCATATTTAACTTTTTGGTGGCCTGGTGGTTAACGCTCTCGCTTCACACGGTGAGGGCCTGGGTTCGATTCCCAGCCAGAGTAGAAACATTGGACGTGTTTCTTTCCACCTGTTGTCTATGTTCCCCATCAGTAAAATGGGTACCTGGGTGTTAGTCAACTGGTGTGGGTCGCATCCTGGGACACTGACCTAAGGAGGCCTGGTCACAGACCGGGCCGCGGGGGCGTTGACCCCCGGAACTCTCTCCAGGTAAACTCCAGGTAAACAGCTTTATTACATCAACTTTAATTATACAGTATTTCCTTTAGCACTACTCACCACCCTTACTTACTCTGTCAGCATAGTTGCTGATCCCCTGTATATATACGTATATGTTATCTGAGTATCATAGTACCATCCATGTGTTTTACATACACGACCCCTTGCTAGGCCCAGTGACTAGTTTGTGTGATGCCGCATGAGTGCGTGGGATGCGCTGCATCAGCTTCAGTTCCCCGTAGGCCTAGCAGGCGACAGGACAGGCAGTTTGGGCTCTCCCTTACCACAGTCTGCAATATAAGCGTTAACACCCAATGACTTGTGTTTAACTCCAATCATCAAATCTCCACGAACCCTCACAACAACTCTACCTCTGTTATACTCTCCACCCTTGCTGGTCTGTGTTCAAACATTACACCTTTACCACACCGTACCCTGCAGTACTGTATGACTCATGTGGGTATAGTGCTTAGTTATGATTATAATAATTCTGGCATCATCCCCCTCCCATGAAGGGTTCATACAAGGTATGGTTTTCTGATCGTGGCACCTTGCCAAGTATGATTATCTGGCTGTGGTTCCCTGCAAAGCAGGACTATCTGGCTGTGGCACTTTGTCAGGTAGGACTGGCAGTGGCACAGTGCAGGGCATGAATATCATGCTGTGCCTGATGCTGGTAAACAGCTCTTAATCCAGGGAATTTGAGTTATCCCTACCCACAGTGCTGTATAGCTCGAGCTGTATAACCCATTTGGGTTTATCTGACTGTAACAATCAGATGTCCCTTGTGAGTTTAGCGCTTAGTTCTGATTGTAATAATAATTGTACTTAATGTAGTGTGACTGAATTAACCTTCCAGGGCAGGTTCCTTGATGCCGGAAAACCTGAAGTATACCTGGAGAGGGTTTTGGGGGTCAATGCCCCTGCAGCCTGGTCTGAGACCAAACCTTGTGGTGGATCAGGGTCTGATCAACCAGGCTGTTACTGCTGTCTGCACGTAAACTGACATACAAACCACAGCCCGGCTGGTTAGGTACTGTCCAGTGCCTTCTTGAAGACAGCCAGGGGTCTACTGGTAATCCCCGTTATGTATGCTGGGAGGCAGTTGAACAGTCTTAGACCCCTGACACTTATTGTGTTGTCTGTCAGTGTACTCGTGGCGCCCCTGCTTTTCATTGGGGGAATGTTGCATCTCCTGCCGAGTCTTTTGCTTTCATAGGGAGTGATTTTCGTGAACGGTTATTAATCCAAGAAATTAAAGTTTAGCCTCTCATCTTCAGATCCCCTCAAGGGAGGTTCCTTGATTCTGGTGAAGGGCTCTTGATCTAAGGAATTGGATCTGTGCTCCAGTTCCCTGAACTGAGCCTGAATACCTTTCATCCCCCTTCAGAGGAACTGTATAATACCTATGGGTTTAGCGCTGTCCCATAATATAATTCATAACTAGATTAAATGATTATTTCCCATACCAGTGGTGCTGCATGACCTGAGAGTCTAGTGCTTCCCCGTGAATATTGTCATAAATGCTGCAGAAGAACTTATCCCCAGCTGAGTAAACTGCCGTAAAATATTTATCCTTTGAATTAGCGACCTATGGATATCAATTAAGTAGCAGCTACAATGCACCACTACCAACTAAGATATGTAAGGTGTTACGTGTAGCGGAAGTTAGTAAGTTTATTTATCTACAAGTACACATATGTACAATTATTATACATAGTGTAAATTACCTAGGATAACCCAAAAAAGCCAGAGTGAGTTATTTCCACTGGCGTTCTTATATATCGTATATTTAAATATTAAAAGTTAAAACAGCTAAGTAGCTCAACTGTATGAACAGCAGTTAGAATAAAAGGAGTTACAATAGGAATAAAATAAACTGAGTTATTTACAACAACCAGAACATACATGCCCCCCAA